GGGGGGGAGACAGGTGCTGGGCCAGGTTCCTATTTAGGTCCTCTGAGCCAGGAAGAGGGTGGGAGTGGGTCAGCTTGGCCTTGGCTGGAAGGTGCACTCTGATCTGAGATTCGACATCTGAAATGCCTCCGTTGCATGCATTTGCTGAACCTGGACCTAGTCCAGTCTTTGGGACAAAGCAGATGACAGAGCAGTAGGGTTTCAGGACTAGCTACAATTGTTTTCCAGAAAAACATCTTGGCTTGATTTGTACTGGGGGGAAATTCCATCTTGGTTTGATTAGGGTGGGGGGTCTTGAAGGAGTCACTCAGAGGGAGCCCGGGACAGAGATACTAAGGTGACGCAGCCCAGGTCTAGCTGCCTGTGGGGCACCTGTGCTCTCCCACGTCATTTTGGCAGAAAGTAAGAGTGGGTCTGAGGGATAGGAGAGGTTACCCAAGAAGGCAGTGAGTTTACAAGTAGAATGCACTGCTGCCCCTCGGGAACCCTCCTCCAGTCCACTGAGAGCTCAGGCCTTTTCAGGGTGACAGCACAGAGGAGCATTGCAGCTGCTCACCCAGAGCCCTCTGAGGCTGAGCCCTCAAAGCCCCAGTATCTTAGTGCTCTGTTGTCTCCACCATGGAAGCAGCTGGGGCAGAATCAGGTGGTGCAACACCAGCCAGCCAGCCAGCCAGCCAGCCTCTGCTTCCAGTGAGGAAGGTTCCAGATGCCTTACCTCAACTCAGTTTGCTCTTATGGAAAGAGGTGCCTTCTCCTACCCTGGGAACATGTCAGGGCAGCCTCCTCCCCATTCCTGAGCCTGGCCTGGGGTGAGGGTGTGGACTGTGCTGAGGGTCCTGAGGCACCCCAGCCAGGCTCCAACCTAGAAAGTAAGGCCTTTCTCAAGGCTAAAGGCCTTGACCTGGTCTCTGGTCTCTCCCACAGGTTCCCCTGGACCACCTTGTGGCCTGCTGCTCCAATTCTGTACCTTCTACTCCCAGATGACTGGCTGTTTGAAGCTGGGTGTCAGGAAAACCCCTGCACTGGGGGTGGGGAGGGACCAGACCTGTGCTATGGAAAGCTGATGGGTGTAACTCCCAAGGCCCTGCCCCGGAGCCATCCTGGAGCCATTCTGTAGCAATGCTAGCTTCATCCACAAGGACTCTTCTCGCTTACTGAGGGGCTGACTAGGCACATACAGATAGTCCTTGTTAGTTCTGTTTACAGTTGAGGTCACTGAGGCTCACAGAGCGTGTAAATGGCAAAGTGAGTCTCCAACACCATTCCTTCTGTCACCCCAAGCTGCCTGTGTAAAGAACACAAGTCTATTCAATAGCTAAGATGTGGAAACAGCCCAAGTGCCCATCAGTAGATGAGTGGATAAAAAAGCTGTGGTGCCCTGGCCAGTTTGGCTCAGTGGTTAGAGTGTTGGCCCGAGGACTGAAAGGTTCGATTCTGGTCAAGGGCACGTACCTCAGTTGCAGGCTTGATCCCTGGCCTTGGTTGGGGTGAGTGTGGGAGGCAACCAACTGATGTGTCTCTCTCACATTGATGTTTCTCTCTGTCTCTTCCCTTCCTTCCACTCTCTCTATAAAATCAATGGAAAAAATATCCTCCGGTGAGGATTAACAACAACAAAAAGCTGCGGTACATTTATACAGTGGAATACTATGCAGCTGTATAAAAGAAGGATCTCTTACCCTATGAGACAGCATGGAGGAACCTGGAGGGTATTCTGCTAAGTGAAATAAGCCAGACAGAGAAAGACAAGTATCACATGATCTCACTTATATGTGGAATCTAATGAACAAAATAAACTGACAAACAAAATAGAGCCAGAGACATGGAGGCATGAATCAGACTGATGATTCTCAGAGGGAAGGGGATGGGGGTTGGGAAGAGATTAACTAAAAAACATATATGCATATATTCATAACCCATGGATGCAGACAATAGTGGGGTGAAGGCCTGGAAAGGTGACAGGACTGCAGAGGAGGGGATCAATGGGGGGAAAAAGGGGAACACCTGTAATACTTTCAACAATAAAGATAAATAAAATAATAAAAAGAACACAAGTCCAATTTCCATAAAACCTCGGTGTACCATGTAATTGAGGAGTAACTATCAACTGGAGGAGGTCCCGTCCTCTGGCACATAGCAAGGCCTTTAGGAGCACAGCTCTACTATATCCTGGCTGTGTGTCCTTGGGCAAATTCCTTAACATCTCTGGGCCTGAATTTCCTTGTCTAAGAATGGCAATAGTAATTCTTAGTACATTACAGTGTTGTTATGAGGATTAAGTAGTATGTGTGTCTCTACATGTTAGTGAGGATGGTGAGGATTAGTGACTCCTGGGTCTCAGTATCAGCATGAATTGTTAGCTCATCTCACAGTCCCGTGGTCACCTGCGGGAGCCTAGCCCAGGTAGACTGTGGCATGTGGAGGGTTGGAGTGGGAGATGTTACACCCTGAAGTCAGATAACCTGAGACTGAGTCTACCCACCAGGAGTGGAATTCCTGGCATACTTCATGCACTTTGTAAATTTGTGAAGTCCAAATTCAAGGTGGTGTCACTGTACATAGCTCTCAAGTGCCCAGAGTCTCAAAGCGCTGGGGGCAAGGGTAATGGGGGAATGTGTCAGGGAGGGAGTGTGGAGGAAGACGATCTAGCAGAACTTCAGAGCAGCTTAGCTCCTCTGTTATATATAGCGGGGTCCTATGCAAGATTTTGTTTCCCCATTTTTGTAAGTGGAGGAATCTCTGCTAAAAGGGATTAAAACAAAAGTCCTAACCCTGTGCTGTCCTGTGCAGCTGTTAAGAGCTTGAAATGAGCTTGTCTGAAGCGAGAAGTGTGATCTGGGTGAAATACGTGCCAGATTTTGAAGAGTTAATATAAGAATGCAAAATATCTTATTAATCATTTTAAATCGGTTATATATTGAAATGATATTGTGAATATACTGAGTTAAATCAAATGTGAAATTAATCTCACCTGCTTCCTTTTACCTTTCTTTAAAATTTGCCCACTAGAAAGAGAGTTTTATTGGGTGCTCTGTGCTAACCAGAGCGGGCGCGCCGAGCAGGCCTCTGTGGCCGCGTCTCAGGGGCTCGCTGCGGCCAGGGAGGCGGGTCCTGGTTTCCAGCCCATTGCGCGGACGGAACTGAGGCCTGCGGG